ACATATAGTGAATGTTTAAATTTAAACATTACAGTAAAAGACACAGTTGCTTTTAATTATCTTCAGAACTCTTCCCCTAACTTGGAACATGTTTATCCTCTTCTTCTTGCCACTGTCTGAAGCAGTTCCGGAAGTCCTCTTTTGTGAGTGTCCTTAATAGGGATGTCATGGCTGCCTTGATGTCCAAACTCAGTTGAAACATTTATCTTTCATGGTCATCTTGACTTTGAGAGGAAGAACCAGCATAGTGCCAGATCTGAAGAATAAGATGGATAAAGACACATTGTAATATTTTTATGTGGCAGAAATTACCATAAATGTTTTAAATCAATTCAAGACATTGAGATAACCATGATAGCTCAACTAAAGACACTCATAAAAGAGGACTTCTAGAACTGCTTCAGAAAGTGGCAAGACTAAGGGAGTATGTGTTTTTAAAGTGAGGGGGGGATATTCTGAGGTGACTTAATTGTAGCTTGTCTTTTAGTGTAATAAACATTTTAAATTTAAACATTTACTGTGTATTTCAATTATCCCTGTGCAGAGCTAAATATAAAACAGGAAAAGAGAGTTGGAAATCATTTCTATATGAGTGGCAATGATGATGTAGGTAGCAAGACAGATCACGCGGCAAGAGTAAAGCCTTTGAGAGCCTCAGTATTTAAGGAATGTGTAGAAGAGGGCTCTGTAGAGAAACCCAGCAAGAAATAGTCATAGAAGCATGTGGAATCTTGGAAGAGTTGTATCACAAAAAGCTTAAAATGAAAATATTTTAAAACAAAGGACTGCCAAGTGTGTCATTTACAGTAGAAAAATCAAGAAGCTGAAGATGAAAAATGGTGGCTTCCAAAGATGACCCAACTGACAGTGGGATCTGAAGCTTGAGTACAGGCACTGGAGCCTCCAGGGGAGAGGAGAAAGTAGGGGCAGAGGATCTTGACTATGATGCGCAGGAGGAATAGTGGCTGCAGATAAAGGATAATGATAGGGAAAGAGGAGCCTTTGGAACATAGCTGCTGTCATTTTGAGAAGCTGGCAGTGCCAGTGACAGAGGTGGGGGATTTAATACCGAGAATGTGTGGAATGAGGAGGGGATAAGAACAAGGTAGGAGGATGTTAACAGGGCTGTGCTGTGAGTCCCTCACTTGACCAAGCAAAAGCTGGACCTGAGCAGGGAAATGGCCTGGAAGAAAAGGGGCAGCGGGCTCACAGAGGTTAAAACAAACTGTGAGCAAGAATGGTGGCATAAAGGAGTGAGGGATCTCATGGCCTAAGAAACCAGCACAGTGAGTGAGCTCAGCTCACCCCGTTTCAGAGATGGTGTAGTTGGATGGCAAGATATAGGATGTGCAGGCGGCAAGATGTGTATGAATAACATATTGGGGTGATGAGCTGCAGGCTTGTTTTTCAGCTGTGTAGTCATACGGGTGTTGAAATCTGCTGTGTTAGAATTACAACTGGGTGAAGGAGAGAGAGAGAAACTACTGAACAGTTGTGCTGGGGGGATGGGGAGATGTGTGCAGCTGAAAAGCTGGTGTGTGAGCTGTGGGGAGGTCAAATGTGTAGGCTGTAAATCTCAGCAGGGTAATGTAAATGGGCTCAGAGTTTTGGGAGAGTTAGGAGAAAATGCCTGTTTTTCCCACCCTGTCTCCATGGTAAGTGGGATGGCAAAGGATACGTCTTCCATTTCTTCCAGGAAGACAGTGGAGACAGTGATGCCTTCCTCCAGGAAAAATAGGTTTTCCTCACTGTCACTGTAGTGGGGAGGGTGTTACGGCCTCCATGCTGTGACTGTGATCAGCCCAGCTCTAAATTCTTTCCACTGTTTCTCAGAGCAAGGACATGTCTAATAACGAAATTCAGTTGATTTTGACAGCTGATTAGAGGGGACTTGGATGCATAGAGAAGTCCTTTGGGGGAACCAATAATGTCTCAGGGTTTCTGTCTAGGAAGAACTTGTGAAATGAGCCTTCCAAGCAGATAATATCAGAACCCGGAGCCTGATGCCCTGTGTATGTATATTTCATGGCTGGTGATGCTTGTCTTTTACAAACCAGGTGTACATCAGATGCTGCTTTCCAATGGAATGAGTGCTCAGTTTGTTCATTCACTCAGTCTCCATCCATCCATCCATCCACCCATCCATCCATCCATCCATCCACCCACCCTTCCAGCCATTCATCCATTCATCTGTGGAATATTCACTGCATGCCTGCTGTGTACCAGGGGCTGTATCAGATGATAATGATGGCCTGTAGTCAAAGGCAGTCTTTACTTTTGAAGAGTGTTTGATCTCATAAATTGAAGAAAATCACTTTATGATAGTGGCTTAAAAATTGAATACTTATTTTTCTAAGTCAATACATACTAGTTAATTTAACTTCTAAATTCTACAAAGAAACAATAAAATATTAGCTATGTATAGACGTTTAGTTATTCTAAAGCACTTCTGGTACTATACCAATTATTTCTCTAAGTAATAATTGATATAACAACTTAAGATATGCTGCGTATCAGAAAACAATTCAAAACTTAAACATAGAAGAATGAAGATTCTTTTTGTCTGCTTATATCTAACGTCTAATAGAAATGCCCTTACAGATCAATAACCAAGATAACCCACTGAGAAGTAACAAAAAAAAAAGATGAATAGGTGTCTGAAAAGAAATGCAAATGGTCAATAAATAAACAAGTAAACAAAATGCATTAACTTTCATTAAAAGAATATAAATTTAGAAGTGGCTATCAAACTTAACAAAGATTAAATATAAGGTAACATTAAAAGTTGAGGAACTACCAATGGTGCAGCCTAGTGGAAAGTTTGACAGTGAACATCCAAGCTTCCATCATCGGGCCTTTCATCAGCATCTGCGTGCAAAGAAAGCTATTGTAAGGAAATGAGAAAGATGCGAACAAAGTGTTAATCAGAGGTATTTATTAGGATTTTGTTTATTAGCATGAAGTACCAATTAAAATAATATATGTCAATGAACTTCAATGACCTCACTCCATCTGTACCAACCTTCTGTTTTAAACATTTGGGGAAACCTCAGTTTGTCCACTCTAGCAAGTGTTTGCAGCTGGCTCCAGCCCATTACTGCCTGCTCTCAGATCCTTTAGCTTTTTGTGACCATATCCACACATTTTTGATATTTAATCACATATTGCCTTTGGTAATAACTAAATGGTCACATGTAACATTATAATTTGCTTTCATGTCTTTCAATTTAATTCCATTGTAATTATGCACAGAGCATATGTTCATTTATAAGCACTCTGGGTGCTCCTTCAACTGGATTGTGTGTCCATAGGAGTTAAGAGTAACTGTTTCCATTGACTGGGGTTCTCGGAGTTGCCACACATCGTATTGGGTTAATAATATCCCTTAGTTTTTGTGGGCTGATCAGGTCCACAATCTCATGAATAAGTGTACAGTGGAGGCTAAATAAAAAGAGGCAAATGGAATGATTTTAGAGCTCCAGGAGGATCAAAGCCCTCTCACAGAACTCAAGATTCTTTGAGGGCTAAAATGGTTAATCCTTCTGTGTCTTAGTTTTGCTGGTAAAATGGGACCACCATTGCAGGGGGTAGTTTGAAGAATTAAGCGAGGGGGCATGTAAAAGTAGCTAGACAGCTACTAGTTCAATTAGTATTTTTATTTCCATTTTGTAATTTTTTCTTATTTTATTGTAAAGAGAAAAAACAAACAAGCAAAAAAAACAAAAACAAAGACAAAACAAAAAACAAAAAAACAATAAAAATGATACAGAATTTCAAAACAAGATGATAGGCAATTAACAAAGCTTGCTTTATTACATATTGTTATCTTCAAAGTAGTTGCTCAGATTACCAGATACAGGTATGCAAGTTTTGATAATGAAGGCACATCCATCCACCCTTGCATATTAGAGTCCTTATCACTGCAAGGTATAGCTCATTTTCTTCCTGCCTTTTTATCTCTGTGCAAATAAGAGGGGTGCCTGCTGTGTACAAGCCTATCTCATGCCTGAACATATAATAAGTTCTCTGAAGAGATGCTATTCCAAATGTGAGATCTACCTAATCTTTCTGATACATAAGTCCTTACTTGATGCTTGACTGAGATTTAGAATCTAATTAAACAATGTGGGCGCTGGAGTTAGGTTTGAGAATACCATCAAAATAACATGAATTATAGTAATTTTCTCAGATGTATTCAGAAAGATAGTGGTAATGTAGGGTGCAAAGATTTCTCACTTAGAGACACAGGGGACTTATCCTGGGGTTCCAGGCTGGGTCTATATGGCTGGTGGAGTTACTCTTAGGGACCTAAAATTAAGAAGTGTTGTGACTTTGCTTCTGTGCTACAACATGGGCCAGGGAATCTCTGTACAGATGTGTCGAGATATTAACAGTGGGCAGCTTGTGTTTTCATTTTCTCCGCGATAACACATTGTGACATTTTCCCAACAACTGCATGTATGCATTTTCCGTTTTCCTCTGTTATATAGAGCTTGGAGTTCAAGTATAGAATACTGAAGCTAAACTTCCTGTGTTTTATAAAAATGAAAAGGAACTTTCTTGATCTCAGATGCTTTCAAGACGCCTAGCTAAAATATAATCAAATGCTCAGAATAACTCTTCCCAAAGTGTTAAACCAGGAATATCAATGTCACCTAGAAACTTGGAAATACAGATTCTCAATCTGCAACACCAAGCCCACAGAATCAGAAACACACACTCCTGCATTCCCAGGTGATCTGCATGTACTCCTAAGTTTCAGAGCCACTGTCCTAGGATGATAACTGAATTTTAGGGAAGGCTGTGCTCCATGCCAAAAAATGTTTTTGTACTCACTGACAGATAGGGAGAAGTTGTGTGAATTCTGAGTTGATTTATTTAATGCAATGTTATTAAAAGTTATATAAAGAAAACTATGTTTGATCTATTTTATTGTCATTAAAGTTTGGTTTTGCTAACTGGTCTCTCTTTTCTTCCCTCTTCGTATTTCTGCGTACTAGACGAGTTGGATTTTATGTTAACACTTTCAAGAATGTTTCCAGCCTGGAGGCCAAGTTTCATAAGGAAATTGCGGTGGTGAGTAATGCTGATTATTTTTCCATGTGAAGTATAATGGAAGATTTATTTTGGAAGCAAATTAATTGGCTCAGCATTATACCAAGTATTCTTCCTTTAGTTGTCTTATAGTAGTGGCCCATTTACTCTCTGTAATATTGGTATAGCTTTCCATAGTGACTACATAACTTCTATATATTTTGGAGATTCTGTCACAGACCCCAGCCTTGTTTTCCTTTTTAGCCTGTTTTAAAGTCAGGATTTCAAGTGGTTTCTTAGGCTGGTGAAAAAGTCGTTTCAAAATATTAAGAAAATCAACAGCTGTATTGTGGATTGATGTTCTTTCCAGTTCAGCAGATAGTTGTGGGGCTGTTTCTACTGGAATCAAAAACTATCAGGCTTCTGTTTGTGTAGTGGGTGCTAGTGAATAAACATATTTTGATTGTTCTAAGTTTTTTTGTGTTTAGTTTGTTTCAGTTTTGATTTCGATTTTATATTTGGACCTTAAAAAGAATTTTAAGTATCCTAAGGCCACCATAATTTTCAGGAGAGTCTTAGTTTCTCTCTTGGGGAAGACATGCTGTACTGGCACCAAGACGCCTTGCAGCTAGTAGACAAGTGGCCTCTGTCCCCTTAGCTCTGCCACAAGCTGTACGAAGTGATGACAAAACTGGGTGACCAGCATGCTGACAAAGCCTTCACCATCCAAGGCGCCCCCAGGTAAGCCATTGCTCATCAGAGCCAACTTCCTTTCCACACACCTTTAACAGGATGCTGGTTGAAGTTTCTGCATTCTGTGGAAAAGGTTCTGCTACTTTAATTTGATTCTCTTCGTTTGTAAAAGTCTAAAAGGAGCCTTTCCATCCATCAATTGATGGTTTCACATTTACTTTAACTCCCTGGTTTCACATTTACTTCTGGCTTTCAACTATCCCACAAGGGTTGTGGTGGCCACAACAGAATTAACAGTCTCTGTCTCTGCTGTTTTGTCTCTATCTGTTTCTCTCTTTCTCTCTCCCTCTCTCTTTCTGCTTTACATGAGACCCGAGAGCAATACTAATACGTAATTTCTACTTCTACATGTGGTACTTTCTCTGAAAAAGAATTCCCCACACTCACAACAGTCAATACTGGCTTTTGTCATGGGTGTTGATGTTTGTGATGAAGCTGTGCAGGGAAAGTAAAGAAGTAGGTGAGACCTACTTCAGCATCTTCAGCCTCTTACCTCTGCTTTGCTACTGGTTCGTTGCATGTGGCTGCGGTGAGCATGCCAGTCAAAGGCACTGGGAGCCTTGTGACCCACAGGTGAACTGACTAACCTGCCAGGGTTTGGTTTCGTACCAACTTTCTCCTGTGATTTTGGAATTGCTTTAATTCCATCCTCTCAGGCATTGTGTACTCAAGGAATGCAGCTTAGCATACCTTGGGGCTGCAAAAGACCCACCTTTCAGTATTATAGCTGTAGTTAATTTGTTTTGTTTTCCTTGAGTAAGTCCAATAACCTCTCTGACTAAATATCTCATTATTTCCAAATCAATAAAAACGTAATATACTACTGGGCTAAATGGATTTTAAAGTAATATGGAGTCTAACTTACTATATTTGTGATTTTAATATCAATGCACACACTTACACAAATGCATTTATAGAAACATACATAGTCACACACATACCCCAACATCTGCCTGGATTAGTGTCTGGATGCCTCTGAGGATTGCTGGTTTTCTTATTCTAAGCATCTCTGCTATGCTTGCTCCACTGAGAGGGCACTAAGTATATATGTTCTCCCTGTAAGAGTAAGAGCATTGTCTAAAAAAGCACAGGAGGCCAAGTTAATGTGTCGGTATGGTTATTTCAGTATTGAGCTAAGGACAAAAGAAGAGTTAGAACAGGAATATCAAAATGACTTTGGGATATTTCAAAACTGAAGTACAATAAAGGTTTAACGGTTATCCCCTTATATGGAAATGCAAAGGACAGATGCATTTAAAAATTTCAGTGTTGCTGAATCAGATGAAGTGAGGAAAAAGCAGGTCATGGCTACTTAACAAATGTCCCTTTAATTTTTTCCAATGTCTTCTGCAGAACGAGGTGGTGAGTAACTTAGAAGACTCTGTATAGAGCATAGATTGGGGCTGTTTTCCATCATAGGTCATGATTGCTGAAACCTGGTCCCAATCTTGTGGCCTGTGTATTCTCTGAAGGACCCAGTTCCCTTGGTCCTTTTATATGTAGACATACTGCTGTGTATCTGCTCTTTTGTTTTAGGCTATAGATTCTGCTCCTTCTAGCTGTAGACTTTAGAAATTCTTAGAGAGTAAGATGTGTCCTGAGTACTATCCTAGTCACTGAGCTTAGCTGTCCCACAGCCTCTGGCCTGATGCCAAGAACATAGTGTATTCTCAGTAAACATTACTGAAGCTCATCATTTGAAGAATGTACTTGTGCTGTTCAAGGTGTCCAAATTGAGTCATTGTTTTGTACAGTGTGAAAAGAAATAGTGAATGAATTTATCCCCAAGTGATATCAGCATGCATACTCCTGCAAAAGCTTTGCTCATACTCTCCAAAAATACCTCTGAATATAAAAAGTGCAGTTTTCTGAGTGGAGCAAACCTTTCTTTGCTCCACTCTTCTTCCCTGTAAGTGGGGACAATGATGCATGGCTACTGTGAAGGCAGATAATAGATAAGCGGGATCTAGCTTTCTACGTAAGTTCTTCTGTAGCATATGACTTGCCAAGATTTTCTTGTTGATCCAATATGAAACTGCTTAAGCTAATCCAGCTTAGATTGGGAAGATTCTTTAGTGCTTGCTTGGCATAATGGATAGACAAGAAGTTTGTATAACTAAGACCTGAATTCAGATCCATTCAATCAGTGGTCCCAACCTTTGTCATTATTATTTATTATTATTATTATTATTATTATTATTATTATTATTTTTGGCACCAGGGACTGGTTTCACACCTTATCCATGAATGAGGGATGGGTTAGGGTGGGAGGAGGAGATGATTTGGAGATGATTTAATTGTAGTTTATTTATTGCGCATTCAAATCTCTTGGCTAAGTTTCATTTGTATCTGCAGCTGCTCTCCAGAGCTAGCATCACCATCTCAGCTTCACCTCAGATCATCAGGAATTGGGTTCTCAAAAGGATCATGCCACCTAGAGCCCCACATACACAATTCATGCTAAGGTTCTAGTTCCTATGAGAACCAAATGCCCCACCGCTCTGACAGGAGGTGGAGCTTAGATGGTGAGGAATCACCACAAATACAGATGAATCTTTTCCAGCTTGCCTACCAGTCCTGCTGTGCAGCCTAGGCTATCAATGAGCAGTGAACCTGTACTGATATGTGGCCTAAGACTGGGAAACTCTGCCCTAAATCACAGAACAATTTTAGTGTTTTTTTAAAAAAATTTCTTTGCTCCACTCTTCTTCCCTGTAAGTGTGAACAATGATGCATGGCTACTGTGAAGGCAGATTATAGATGAGAAGGATCTGGTTCACAGTATGGGAAATGGCACCATTTATCAGCATCACTGTGTCTAAGAACAAAACTAAACTGGAAGCAGGGAGTCGGGTAACAGACAATACCTATTAATTGTCAGGATTTCTCTGTGATGGAGCATCCCAGATCAAATGAACCCCATCTCTCAGAAGGCCTCTTCCTTAACTATGTTCGTGTAGTGATTCAGGTCCTCTACGCATTGCAAAGACGCCGTCACCTCCTGAGGAGGCTTCGCCCCTGCCCAGCCCAACAGCCAGTCCCAACCACACACTAGCACCTGCGTCTCCTGCCCCAGCACGGCCGAGGTCCCCTTCACAGGTATGAAAAGAGCACATGTGTCAGGGGGGTAGGGGGACTCATTGTGATCACCATTAAGAAATCCATCTGTTTTTATTATTTAACTTTTATATTTCTGACAGGGCTCAGTGTTTAAATCTCTTGAGATTTAACATCTCAGCTTCTTCAGACTAGCATGCCCACCTCCTCTCCTATTTCTTGCTCTCAAAATCCTCTTTCAAGGGTGGGAATATAGCTCAGCAGTAAGAGTTCTTGCCTAGGGTATATGAACCCAGGGTTCATTCCACACTACTGGAAAAAATGTCTTGTCTTTCAGCCTTTAAAGATTGTATGAGACCTTTTTCTTAGCACTGTCTGTTATACTTAGTGCAAAACCACCAAGAAAAATGAAAGTTTATGTGTCATTTTACCTTAGCTACTTGATAAAGTTATGTGAATCAAATGAAAATGAGACAGTGAAGGCCAGGCAAAGTCATAAGGAGAAAAATTTCCCATCCCTATTCCCTACTTTGGATGGAAATAAAATCCCTATGGGAAAATCTGAAGTTCCTAATCCAGTGAAAGCTTTCATGAATAAAATAAACTGAGGAGAGTCATGAGAAGATATGTGCACAAGATAGACGTGTTTTATCTCAAAATTCTGAATGGGAAGTGAGATAGAAGCTGCCTATGTTGATCTCAATAATTCAAAAGAAAAGTTGCGTGATTTTAGTTCTAAAATTCTATTTTATGTTGAAAGGAGAAAATATTTTCAGTGCACTTTAGTGAAGGTATTGCTTTAGCATAACCATAAAGGCCCTACAGCCCTGTCTATGCTTGTGTGGAGATAAATAGACTGCCATCTCATAGATTATTAGTCATTTTCCAATCACTGGAACAAAATACCTGACATCCACCACTTAGGAGAGGTTTATGTTGGCTCATGGTTTTCAGAGGGTTCAGTCCATGGTTGGCTGGCTCCAAGGTAGAAATGGCATAGTGGAAGGGAATGGCAGAGACAAGGTCCTCATTTCATAGCATCCAGGAGGTAGAAGGAGAAGGGAAGACCAACGGCAAGCTACACCCTTCTAGGGCACTCCTTTTATGACCTCTGACCAGACCCCACCTCCTAACAGCACATTTAGCTATGAATTCACCAATGGATAAACCCACTGATGACTGTAATGCTGTCATGATCCAATCAATCACCTTCCAAACTTTTGGGAAACATTCTGTATCTAAATCATAGCACTTAGCTTGAGATTTTCCTGTGGGATTATAGCTTGTCAGTGGTCAGGGAGCCACCCACATAGACAGCATTCTTGATCTAATACAGTAGTGGCATTTTTGCCTCTAGATAAAAGTTTCAGAGTTCAATATATCTATCCAGCCCTCTTGATGTGACATTTCTGTATGGCTCACCTGCTCTTTGGCTGCTTAAATGTTTCTATTTGGTGCTTCTTAGACAAGGAAAGGGCCACCTGTCCCACCTCTGCCAAAGGTCACCCCAACAAAGGAACTACAGCAGGAGAATATCATCAATTTCTTTGAAGATAACTTTGTTCCAGAAATCAGTGTGACAACACCTTCCCAGGTGAGTGTCTAGCTGTAGTATAACAACCAGTTTTAATTCCTGTCACCTTGATTTGAAATCCTGCATTGTTTTTATTGTTTTGTTTTTGTCTTCACTGTCATATTATTTGGTTTTTCTCTTTAAAATAAAAAAAAGACAGAAAAAAGCAGTATGCTCATGAGAATATCGTGGTGGCCTATAATCCCAGCACTCTGGGAGGCTGAGGTGGGAGGATTGCAAGTTTGAGCCCAACCTGAAACCACTTAGCAATTTAGTAAGACCCTGTCCCAAAAATAAAAAAGGGCTTGGGTATAGGTCTGCATAAAGGTCCTGGGTTCAATTTATAGCACCAAAAAAAAAAAAACAAAGAAAAGAAAAAGAAAGTACCATGGTGGAGAGACATTTTAGGGACAACTCTAGAGAAAGTGGCAGATATTAGAGCCAGGAATATAATTTTAGTTGTCACTCAGGCTTGTTTTAATTACTTTGTATGTCTAAAGCATTCTTAAATGGGATGTATATACAGTTTAATTACTCTTATTTTTACTAAAAGTGGTATATAATATTTACAGAAAATTGAAAAGTATAAAATGAAAAAAATTATTAATAACTAAGTACACTTTGGTTTATTTTGTTTTAAACTTCTTTTTCTCTGAGTATGCTTCAGTTTTTACCATAAAATTTAGAATGCATTGTCATAGAATTCTGACTTTTCCATTGAAGTTCTAGCAAACATTTTTTCATGTGAAAATAATGTCTTTGTGAAGCCATACCTAACTGTGCTGTTCTATTAACTGGATGTGTCCACCCCAATCAGTAGCACAGGTTACTTCCAATTGCTTTGTCACTTCTGAAGAACTTCGGTGAATCCCTATATATATGTTAATACTTGTTTGTGCATTCTATTATTTCTTTTATATTGGATAATTAGCAAGGTCCTATCATTTATATGACTAGCCAAATGGGAATGCCAGAGTTCTCCCTGCTTTTGAAGATATCTGGGCCACCTTTCCTGGCTGCAGCCACCTACACACCTATCCCTCACCTATCCCTCGAGTGGGCTGTGTTGTGTTATAGACTCCAGAATGGTTGTGACCTCCAGAACTTCTGCTAATGCCACCAAAACTATCTCTTTTTGAGTGAAAGTCCCCAGAGATGTCACACCAATATCATTTCCTCTAGGGTCAGAAGTAATATTTCCATTTTGTGGGAGGTGCTAAGACTGCATTGTAATTACTGCACACATGAATAGTGTTTAATGTTTTGGTTATAGTCACATCCCATTGATAACACCAAAGGTAATAAATTGAAAACAATAAACTCAGAAAATTAAAACTCAGGAGCAATGCAATAGCAAATCATGATTCTTCATCACTTTGAAGGATATTTATCAATAGATGTGGTGCTTTGAACCACTTTTTATCTTCTCTTGTTTTTACAGGATGCTCAATTTGATAAGTCAGCTGAATTATGAAGTGTGGATTAGCAGTTTCTTTCACAAGGGAATTTGTATGTTTATCAGTACATGGGCAGATTGTATGTCTGTGGACACACAGATGCTGCCATGGATAGTTGTGTTACAGCCAAAGGTCTTACCCAAAGCTGACCAGTGGCTCTGACACTAAACTTTAGCATCTTTAATTTCCAAGTTGTACTGTCTCTTGTATTTGCTACTACCCAGCTTCATTTTCTTTTTTGCTACATGAATTTTCACATTCAATGTATTTTAGAGTCATAATACCCTTTTACTCAGTTGCTTTTACCTGGGTTCTCCATGAGCACCCTCTCAATTCCATCACAGCTGGAGACTTTGGTCTTCTCAAGTTCTGGGTACTTAGCTAAGGGTCTCCCACTTCAGGAGATAGGGCAGCTGAAGTGGTCAGAATGTGACACACAGACTATTTCTGAAGTAAAGACGGGGTTCACAAGTGTTCTCTCTTGTTAAATATTTTTTATTTGACATTTGCTGGCTCCTAGATAAGGACCCTTCATGTTGGAAGAAGAGGGAATCAAAGCACTTTGGAAAATTACAAACTCAGGAGAGTACTCTGAGGCCTTCTGGCAGTGCTAACTTTTGCTGGTATTGCTGTGTAAGGGCCATGAGGAGAGTTAAGATGAGCGGGGGCAGGAGGAGGAAGCCTTTAAGGAGTATAGCACCAGTTCGCTGGTGATTTGTGCAGGACCCCAAGGTACTTCTCCACGCATGCCTTTCGTAGCTTACTGCTGCACGTCATGTCTGTTAGTCTGCAGCCATATTCGAAAGATCTAACCACCACAGACTGTGCGTCTCATTTAGGAGGCTCCACATCATTTGTATTCTTTTCTTTTAGTCTGAGAATGATACAGAATATTTGTTGTTATTTTTCTGAATTTGAATATCACCCTTATTTCAGCAGCTGGGCCAGACAGAGTATGACATGAAATGTTTCCATTGACTAAATGGCCTCATCTCATGTCCATATTTGCCAAGACCAGGAGAAGGAGTTAGAGGTCAAGATGCATGTTTACTCTTTTCTGTCTATTGAGTGAGATAATCTAGCTTTATTTAAACATATAAAAATCAGTGGATTGTTCCCTTGTAGCTATGAGTAGCTGTTGTGTATGACTTCGGCCTATCCAAAAGAGCTCTTGATCTGCAGGTGTGAGGTGGGATCAAGAATCTGCTTCTCCATCTAGTGAGCTCCTTGGTCAGGCTGCTGGTGCCAGCCCCTACTGTGCAAGCCACTGTGTTAAGATCTGAGGATTGCACATGGTACAAATCTGTGACCATCAACAAAGTTCCACAGTGAATTCATATACTTCTTCCAGGGAAATTGACAGCTGAACCAAGTATATGTTAGGATTGATGATTAAAACTATCTCATTTAAAAATAGGGTGGGCTGCGTGTGGTGGCTCGTGCCTGTAATCCCAGCTCTCAGGAGGCTGAGGCAGGAGGATTGTTGCAAGTTTAAGACCAGCTTAGGCTACAAAGTGGGCTCAAGACGAGCCTGGACTGCATAGCGAGACCCTATCTCAAAAAGACAAAAGAAAAAAAAAGTAGAGCAACTTAAAATGTTTCATTTTTAGTATAGTTAAACACCACACATGAATGTACGTATGCTTATAATAATTAGATATGTTGATGGGATTGCAGGAAAACATTGGATATTATAAATGAAAGGGTTATATCATCTTAGTCATAATGTCTGCCAATGCATGAATAAAGGAAATAAATATCAATTCTTGGAGAAAATGAAATTCTAACTGCAGGGAAGTTTTGAAAACTAGAAAGCGAAGAGGTAGCTGGAAAGATTCTCTCTGATACCTTAATGTAGAATGATCCATTTAAATTTTATTTTTATATAATGATTAAAGAGGCCTAATATTTACTAATAAACTTAGTATCCCTAGAAGAAGACGCCTCATGAAACAGCACACAAGATTGTTAGAGTTGACCATATTTTCACATTGGATAAATTCCCCCACTGTCATTTACATGGTGTCTTGGTTACTTTTCTTGGTGCTGAAACAAAATACCCAACACCCAAAGTTAAAGGGGGGAAAGGTTTATTTAGCTCACAGTTTGTAGAGGTTCAGTCCATAATCAGCTGGCTCTAAGGCAGGGTGGCGTGGCAGAAGAGAAACAGTCCATGGCAAGCAAGCAGGAGACAGGGAAGCAGCAAGCAAGCGAGCCTGCCTTTATATTTCATCCAGCCTACTTCCCCTTTGGGCAGGACCACCCACACTCAGGGTGCGGCACCCTTCATCCCAGCACCCCACCCTAGATCCAGCCATCTCTGAATAGACTCACTTATGAGTGATGCATGCAGCTGTTGGGGGGCATCTGGGTACAAGCTGTAACAGAATGAGATTCCTTGCATCTAGGAGGCATTAGATTACCTCTCAAAGGCATTCTTTGTTGGCTGGACTTATAGCTGTACAAAGAACAGGACCTGGAACCTATGGGACCTGTTCCAGGGAGACTTTTGTTATATTTGGCTAGAGTTGGTCCTATTTCCTGTCCCCATATTTAGTTGAATTCTGGAAGTGTGCGGATGAGTGGCTTAAGTAGTAAACTATCAGAGCACCACTGGGGGATATTAAGTAAGGTTATTAGAGGTCTTCTACGTGGGCTGTACCATGAAGTCTTATTGCATTCAAGCTCATGTATATTTTGCGTTGTTTTAACAGAATGAAGTCACTGAAGTGAAGAAGGAGGAGACTCTACTGGATCTGGACTTTGACCCTTTCAAGCCTGAAGTGACACCTGCAGGGTCTGCTGGAGTGACCCACTCACCCATGTCTCAGGTATCAATGACTTTTGGATTTAGAGGATACTGTTTCAAAACCCTTGATAAGCTCAGTGGGGTAACTGATGTCCTTGATGTTTTTCCAGTGACTATTATCTGCTTTTCTTTTTGGTTGGTAACTATTTTCTAATAGGAAAGAGGGATAGCAGGAGGACCTTTTGAATGTCAACTACTAGAAATATCCCCTCTCAATTAGCTTTCTCTTCCCACAGAACTGGCTTAGCCATACTCAATTGTTTGTGCAGAAACTGTCTCTTGCAGGGTAATTATCAATGCCATCGTTTGCTTGCAAAGGTGTCCAGATCCACATGTCTTTTGGCTTCCCCAAAGGAGGCCTTTTCTTTTGGCTTTAAGTTCATTCTTCTTCCTGCTTTCTCTGCTTTTCTCTCCCATGCTTGGTAAGTCAAGGCATCTTTGAAGTAATCACAAGACTCTCCCCCAACAATAATTTCTACAACCTTGATCATTTTGAAGTCAGGGTAGTGTGCTCCTCTTGCATCTTGCAGAAGCCCTCTTCTTTGATCCTGGTGTGTGTGTGCATGTGCGTGTGTGCGTGTGTGTGTAACATCAAACTGGCCTTGCTCTTCTTGTTTCCTCCCTTCCTCACTCTCAACATTTCTCCCATACCAATAGCAATTGTTACAAGATCTCTGGCAGGGAGATGCTTATGATAGGTGCTCTAATGATCGATAGTTGATTCCTCTAGGATATACTTAGTTTATACTTCTCTATGCTAGTGGAAGGAAATTGACTCAAAATGTGACAAACCACAAATAGCTTTTGTTAGTATTTTTTTGAGGTATTTTGGGGCCTCCTCTTTGAGTTTGGGCAAATCTAAAGATACTAGTGTACACTGCAAATTAATTAATGAAAGTGTATTGTAAGCCACATGTGCTAGTGCATACCTATAATCCCAGCACTCTGGAGGCTGAAGCAAGATGATTGCCATGAGTTGAAGGCCAGCCTGGGTAACATAGTGGGTTCAAGGCCAGCCTGAACTACAGAGTGGGATCCTGTCTCAAAAAAAAACAAGTTTATTGTAAAGCCCAGATTAGGAATTGAGATCTAGCTCCATTTCCTGGTCTGGAAGCCATGTTGATACTTTACAGTAAGCCACTGGTAGCAATCTGCTATATATGAACCTCAATAAATAAAGTTTCTTTCTAATCCATTCTTTATTCTAGAATGTGACTGGGTTTCCTGCTTTAAAACAGAAACAATAAAAGTCTACTATGTCAATAGGTAGGAAATTAAGTAGGCTGGAAACTAGCCTTCAAGTGCTTTGGAAAACTGGGTCTATAGGTAAATGTTTTAGGAAGCTGTCTCTATTAACTTTTCTAGGAGGTTTACAATGTACATTTCAATATTAAGGACTCTGAGAGGTTATGCAGTTATTTTTAAAATTCAGTTTGAACATTTTAATTTAAACTCTCCCAGATTTGTTTGACTGCAGAAATCTATTTTAATGCAAACTTGTCTTAGCATTCACTGGAATATTCTCTAATAAAGCATATTGGGGGAAACAGTAAAGTAGTCACTGTCAGGAAGTTTGAGGGCTGTGGTCTACCTTGGCATACCAAATCGTAGAAAACAAATGTGCATGTAATTCAGGATCCTTTCTCAGAGATTTGTCGTTGCGGGCAGCCAGCAGTGTTCATGGAACTTTCTCTACCTTAATCTGCGTAGTTCATTACTTTCATTGCTGATGTAAGTTTCCGTGGTGGGTACAAGGATTAGTGGGTGAGAGATTCCACAGTATGTCTATGTGCAAATTTGAATCAGGAGAACAATTTTATATCACTTCATGGTTGAATTAGTGCATAAACCATACCATTTTGTTTGGATTTAAGATAAAAGGGTATTTTTGTGTGAGTAACAATCTCCACGTTGCCCAGGTTGGAGACTGGGTATTCCTGAGCTTAGGTGATCTTCATGCTTCAGTCTCCTAAGTAGCTTAGATTATAGACCTGCAACACAGCACTTGGGTTAAAGGATTCTTTCAAATCAAAAACAAAAATTTAAAGGAAGGACTTGATTATATCTTCCAAAGTATTCATGTTGAAGGAGACATGGTACTGCAATTAGGGCCAGCTTTGTGCATCTCTGTTTTTCTCCATAGCTGAGTAATAAACTCTGCTGGGCTCCTGGTGGTTGTAACTGAGTCACCTCACTGCAGAGCAGTCCCAGGTCCTGCTCCCCTCTTTCTTCCTGTGTGAGAAGAAAGTCTTAGTTTGACTGAGAGACCACCCAGGGCTGTTACATCCTGCAGCCTCTTTTGCCTTCACTCACAATGATCTCCTTTACCCCTTGCTGACCCCTTCTTTCCAAGTGATGTTCTATCTGCTAGCAGAATAGCTCATCTTGTGATCTCACAGTGCCACACATGCTAACACATCCTTTCAGGATCCTGTGGAGTGATAAACACGTGTTTCACATTGCTACCTTCCTTTTGGAGAAAATATAGGCATTAGCTGCATTCTGTGGAGGTGTGCAGCGTTTATAATCTGTGTTCTTTAAAGGGCTGTCAGACCAGGAGACAGAAACCCATCTGGATCGTTAGAAAAGGCATAGGAGATACTGAAGGAGTCTGTGTACAAAACAGATCTGTTCTGCCTTCCCGTCTCCATTATCCTGTAGGAGGCTGCTGAGTAGGAGGCCAGCCACGCTGCACACAGATGCAGGGCTAGCAGTGCAGTGCTGCTAGGGTTGACCCATGCTAATCAGAAGGACAGTAGAACCACAGACTCTAGATGTCTTTACTTTACTTCAAATGCAACATGTACACTGTCACATTCAGTGACTTAAAACAAGTGAATAAGTAAGGATCTCGTCACAAAAACAAGAGCTTTTAGCATGATTCTCAAGGACAGAGCAAATAAGGATAGATGTAATGGTTGATACATTGTGTCAACTTGAGAAGTTTAACTAAGTGACCCAGCAGGGGGCCAGGGTCCTCGCTTTGTAAACATCCTTATCCTGGGCAAGAGGTGGGCTCAGAGATGGTGTGAGTGGTAGCCCTGCCCTGAGTAGGTTGTAGCCTGCTTATGATATAAGGGAGGAAAAGAGGCTTGCTCACCCCCACTCCCTTTTGCTTCTGTTGCTTTTGCTGTCTTCTGCCACCTTGCACTGTTGCCCCTGTGCCATGCCACCCTGCCTTGGAGCCAGCCGATTATGGACTGAAACCTCCACAAACTGTGAGATAAATAAACCTTTCCCTCTTTCACTTTGTGTGTCAGTATTTTGTCCTAGCAACAAAGGAAAAGTAATCAAGATAATAGGTCTCCCGTACTCTTCCCACCCAGAGGAGATGTCCCTTGGACCATGGAGATTCATTCTTCAGGATCAATAAGATATATAATTGAAATCTCAATAGGAAGTGTAATTTATTCATATGTCTTAGTGAGTACCCTTATAATTTGCATCATTACCAGTTAATGGAGCTATGTGATATCTAATTCAACATATTGAAGAACTACTTTTCTGGGATTCATTTATAATCAGACCAGTCATAGGATTTCCTCTTATGTGATAGGGGAAGGGATAACATTAACAATAATTAGTATCTGTAGTTTCTCAAAGATGTGATAAACTCTAATAGCTCAATGCTTTATTTTAATAGTGTGTGTGTGTGCATGTGCACTCATGCACACATGCATGTATTAAAGCAACCCCATTCATCATATTTAAAATATAGGTTTTTGTTTCCACTTACATAGTAAAAGGTGGATTGATTAGAACTGTCCTATCCAATATGATAGCCACTAACTACACATGCCCATTCAAACTTAAAAGAAGTACAATGATGTAAGATTTAAAATTTGGTTCTGTTATATGAGTACATTTCAAGTGCCCACTATCCACACATGGCTAGTGTATATCATATTGGATTACAGATGAAACATTTCTATCACCAAAGGAAGTTCTATTGAAGAATGTTTTACTGAAAGCTTAAAAAAAGGTTTACAGTGTGTGGGGTGGTTGTGCACCCCTATAATCCCAGCACCCAGGAGGCTGAGGCAAGAGGATTACCATGAGTTTGAGGGCAGCCTGGGCTACATAGTGAGTTCTAGGTTGGCTTGAACTACATAGCAAGACCCTGTCTCAAACAAATAAAAAATGCCAAAAACTTTCATCATCTCTCTGTATCCCCTCCTCCATATATCTTTAAAATACTTGGCATTTGTATACTAAGATCAATTTTGTTTGTTTTCTTTCAGACATTACCCTGGGACCTATGGACGGTAAGACCTCTAAGAACTTGTTTTTTTCATGCAACTTAATCTATAAAAGTTTGGAAGCTGTATTGCATTTTATGCGTGTGTTAGGGAAGGAAGACTTACACCTTTAATGATAATATTTTTTCCTAAAGCAGTCATTAGCCCCTGCAAACTCTATGCCTATCTACAACCTGGAGATCCTTGCAGAGAAGAGTGTGCCAGTGGCCTGAAATGCTGGATGACTAGAGACCGAGAATGTGGCATTGTGCCCTTCTGGTTCTCTCTAGGAGGTTGATAACCAGAGAACCTGTTGTAATAAGGCCGTACATATATGTGGTTGCTTTTAAATAGAATATAAGCAAGATGAGCACATTAGGAACCATTATTTCATTGTTATGTTCAGTGAACTTCAGAAAGCCTGGATCTGAGTCCAGACTCTAATACTTATAAACATGTGACTCAGCAATTTCTAAAACTCTCTAAGCCTCAGTTTTTCTCATATGTAAAATTAAGGGAATGATGCCTACCTCGCAGGACTGTAGGAGGGTAAAATAAGATAATATTTGTAGAGTATTTACCCCAAAGCGGGCATGCTTCAAAACATAGGCATCATTGTTGATATTACCTATTTAGCTAAGCTGTCGTGCAAGGGAGAGTTATTTCTGGAATTTGGAGTTAAGATGACCTCTGTGTGCTACATCAGTACTGTAAAATTAGAAGATCAGTGGCACTGATTCAAGCCTGATGTCCCTCAGGGTAGGAGCTTGGTCTTAGAAAGGATCAGGTCATGTGGCCATCAGAGCCCAAGTTGAGTTTCATGTTTCCTTCTTTTTTCATGTGACAGCAAAAAGAAAGTGGTCTTCTGAAATGATGCTATTGCTTTTTCCTTCTTGAAACAAAAGAGATACTCATCTGCAGTAATAGGTTTATACTGAATTATTTAGGATTCTTGAAACATCAAGAAAGCATACCAGAGAAGAGGTGAACTTGTTGAAACCACCTATGATGAAATGTACCTATCATAGTGAATTATTTTGCTTTACTTATGTCTTCATAACAAGGGCTGGATGGATTAACGTTTAGATCATTTGAATTGTAACCTCACATCTACTGAGTTTCTTGGAGATTAAACAGACAGTGCTAATTTTTTTAATCATTCCATTGTTTCTTATCTTTCAACAGAGCTACAACACATTTTTCTTCCCTAGGTGGAGAAGGCGTGGTGAGGGTGAAGGTCTCATTTAGAGGGAGCTTGTGATATTTCAGAGGACAAATTTGCTAGGAAGTACAGTAATAATAAGAATGTGTAATGATGACGCTTTGGACATAATTGCTCACACTTGTTAGTCATCTCAATTTCCTGGAGTTTTTTTCCTTCTGTGCAGAAATTGGCTTATAGGTTGAGAGCAGAGTATCAGGAGAGCTTCCAGGGCAATCAGAGTGGTTAACATCAGCTCATCCTCCATCTGAATCCTATCTCAAAGGCAGAACCCAGGGAAAGATAGTTTGGGTCAGATTTTATTCTTGAGTCTCCATCAAAGCATGTGATATGTTTGTAATTTCTTGATCTCTAGTGCTGGCTCTTATGCTAGTGTTTAAAGACTGACTTATTTATTTGGAACTTTGCATTTCAGAGCCTACTCATGCAGAAGTTATACTAGCCTTAAAATATCATTGACAGAGGCTTTCTTTGTGCTAAATTGTGCCTTTTTCATAGTGTCTTAAGCACTTTTAGAATAAAAATTACTCCTATTACAAAAGAAATTGTAAAATTGAACATGAAACCAATAAAAGTCACAACCATTAACAGAACCTTGTCTCTGAACAGCATGAGATTTTAATGTCCCAGTGAATGTTGTTTCTTTGCCTTAGTAATTATTTTTATTTTATTTTTTTAACCACACAGACAAGCACTGATCTGGTACAACCGGTAGGTAAATATCCAGAAAGTTCTGGATTTCAAAAATATTTGCTATACATTTTTTTTTGAGAATGAACATTTTCCCCATTGCGTTGTTAGTCATGTATTTAACTGTAAGCTAATTAATTTAAGCACTTTTTAGTTTTGCTTAATTTGTGCTACCCTACTGAAAAGCTTTGTGTTTCTCATCTGATCTTACCATGCTCTATTTCATCTTATCTTTTTTTTTCCTTTGCTCTTCTGCATACTTTAAAGACTGACTCTTCAAAAAGTCTTTCCCTGTGTAACCTGATTATGGAGGAAACTCCAGACAGTGGGTTGGCCGAAGAAATTCAAAGATCTCAAATTTGCATAGGTGCATTTGCTTGGGGGCCGAATGCTAGTACAGACAGTGTCAGCCAGGAAATTACCCCAAGTGGGTCTCGAGAAGACCTTGCGTGTCTCTCTGAAGCAGAGCAAGACATGAGATTACCTACCGGAATGCTTCCTTCCACTGACTGGTCCATTGTAGCTGAACAGGGTGAGCATGTCCTGGGGCCAGCTCCCCCAGGTGATAATGAACAGTTATCCCTGAAGTCCATGCCTGGGGCTGGAGTCACCATTTCTACTTGCATGGAGATGGAACAGCCACATGAATTCCTTGACTCAGAGATGCCAGCCATGGAAACAGCTAGCCTGCTTCAGGAAAGTCATGAAGAAGTTAAAAAGTCAGATGAAGAACAAGAGAACCAGAAGTCAGAAGATTCTGTATGGGCAGGTGTGGAGACCTGTCAAAAGGTAGACACTGGAGCTATTGATATCAAGACACTAGAAGGTATTAAGGAGTCTGAACAGAAAATATGTGAAAGTATAGGAAATAAGGCAATAGATCTCAAAGTTATAGCAGAACAAGACCAGGAGGGCTTTATAGTTCGTGAAAGGAAAACTGGGAAAGCTCTGAGAGTGAGGCGCACAGAAAGTATGAAACCCCTTGAAAATTATTTTGAGAAAGCTGACCTATCAGAAAAAGACATGGCAGGTGAATTTGGTGACAGAGACCAAGGGCTACATGATGAGATTGAAGGAATAATCAATAATTGTGAAAATACGGAAGGCTCGGGAACTACACTTGCCAATCATACAGGTATCTTGAATCTGCCTGTCCACACTGACTCTGTACCTAACACTGAAGGTGCCAGTCCTGAGGGCTGGGATTTAGCTAAAAAAGACATAGAGAAAAATGTAACAGACACTCCCACCCACGTTATAATGTATCACCCAGCACAGAGCAGTGTGGATGCTGAAGAAATTCATGATGAGCTTGTGTTAAATGCTCATAGAGCTGACAGGGATAAAAATCAGGCTGTTGTTTTATCAGTGAAATGTGAAGTGGCAGTTCAATCTAAGACTGACCCCAGTTATTCTCTGGAAACAAATGCAAACAGAAGAGATAGATGTTCCTTTAAGGGAGATTTCTTGATAGAGAGGCCTGATGGTACAATACCTGGGAACTGTAGCCATGCTGTTAACTTGCCAGGAATTGCAGAGGTAGAAGTTTGTGCAACAGATCCAGGTCAAATCTGGCAACCAACTTTGAATTCGACAGTGAATAATATGGACATGTCAGGATTCTCTGGTATACCAGATGGCCAAGCAAGTGGATTTGCCAATAGGTTGGATTCTGAATACCACTGGCCTATCAGAGATACTGGAGGTTTAGATAATTGCTGGGAAAATTCAGATATAGTTGAGAGCAAGGAAGGGCTGGAGGTAGCTTTACTAGCAGATGTATGTAGGAAACACTCCAGTGTTAGCTACTTGGAACAAAGCCAGGAGATACCTAGACCATTGGTTCTGGGAACACCCCAGAACACTAGCACTGAAAGTTCTGAGAGTTCCCAAGACAATGACATCAACAACTCAGACTTATCTGAAGATGAAATTGCTAACCAGAGATATGGAATGTTGTACCAAGAAATAGAGGCTCATAAAGACGAGGTACTTACCCCAGTCTGTAGCGTAGACTAGCCAGACTTCTGTAGGCTCTGTTTTTCCTAATGTCTCTCACCCTCTTCATTATCCATCACCATCTTCTTGCAAGCCTGATTATCTCCCAGACAGATTGTCATGCACCTCTTCAAATCTGTGCAAACCAGACACAAATAGGTTGGCAAAAAAAAAGCAAAAAACAAAAATTCCAAAGGCAAAGTAATTCTGTCAGGAATTAGTGAGAGCTTAATTACCATCCCAAATTCTGGTTGATTTTTCTTATTTTTATTTTTATTATTTGGGCACTAAAAATGCACAAAACCTTGAGAAAAATAAACTTGCTTTCTGTTCCTAAAGTGGTCCTACTTCAGTAAGAACACAAGACGTGGTTCTCTACCAGCCCATTGAAATTGTAGAATCTCGTAGACACTGCTCATCTAAATGATAGATTACAGAAATGATGGAAAAGGCATTTTCCAGATTTTATATGTGGCCTAAAAAGAGCTGTTTTACGTGTCTTGGCTTTTTTCTGGAATCATCTTGTTATGGAAAGAGTAGGTATTACCACTGAGCCACACACTATCAATAATTATTAGTCTTTCATTTTTTGTCAGCCTATTTAAAGTAACACGGCATGACATTTCATATTCCTAAGCACTTCCTCACACAAATCACCTTTTGTATTATTTTAAGATTTGTGATAGTTATTACTCTCCAACTTGTCTAATGGATATGTATTAATCCTATAAAAGTGATGGAAAAAAATAACACATTTTGATTTCCATTTCTATTTAGGCTTCTGGTGGTTCATTCAATGGATTCACCCAGGTAAGGAAGTGACTTTCCGGCAGGATCCATTCTGGTGAGAATACTGTACATTCTTCAGTGTGTTTTCTGTGCCACTGGTCTAGCAAAATAAATAAGAGTGTCAATACAAAATTGGGCCCTACTACTTACAAATTGAATAATAGAGACAGAATAATTGCATCATTATAGGATTATTTTGATGATTAAATGAGATATGTATGCAGGACAGTTAGCCGAACAGCATAGCACATACTCCAGGACTTCAGTTAGCTATTATTTATGTTACTAATTATTATTAATGTTATTAGCTATACTATGGACTTGTACTTTCTGAAGATTTTTCTACCAATAATGAGAAATGAGCTTGATATAAAAGATCCCATGGACTCAGCTGTTTCAAAGAGGGGATATGATTTTTTTTTATTGTAGGAATAAATATTTAGGAAATATGAGAGATTTTTAGAGATTTCTTCCTACAGATTCATAGAGGATCTCCACTGCACACAGCTTACCTCCTAGCAATTCTCCAGAAAAGAGCCACCGGACGGTCCCAAGCCATTTGTTGGCTCTGTCCAAAAAGGCAGTACTATGCTCCTTGAGAGTCTGAAAAGGAGGAACCACAAAGTGGGCCGTTTCATTCGTTATATAGGTACTGGTTGGAACCCATATGTCTCAGTTACTTTCTTGTTGCTGAAACAAATACCTGACTTACACAAGTTAAGGGAAGAGAGGCTGATTTTAGCTCACAATTTGTAGAGGTTTCAGACTATAGTTGAATGGCTCCAAGGCAGGGTGGCTTGGCAGAAGGGCATCATAGAGGAGAAACAGTTCGTGGTGTGGCAGGCAGAAAGCTGGACAGCCATTAAGGGAAGAGGGATATCTATATACTACTCCCTTCCAGGCCACACCATGACCCACTTTTTCCACAAGCTTCACCTCCCGATGTCACACTCAATTATAAACATATCCAGTATCACACACTCATGACCCCTCACCCCCCAAAAGCCCCACCTATGAGTGCACAAGGCTTTTGGGGAACACCTAGCTATAAGCCATAACAACGTGTAAAAGGCGGGGCATGTGTTTGTCATGCTCCCAGATTTAATTCTGGCAGCCTTTTCAAGGGTTATCTCAGAGAGAGGATTTTCTATGATGAATACTTTGTGTTGCATGTCAGATACACACAATTTCTAATAACACTGGCATCTAGAATTTTCTACATACATGTTCAGAATGTATTCCTCAATTAAATTCTCTACTTAGAAGTTGTATTATTTTCCCTGTTACCTATACAAACAAAAAACACAGTCACACACTGCACCCAAACACAGACACGCACAATCTCAAAGACAGACAATAATGCATCTCATCCAGAAATTTCTTTGGGAAGCTTGGCTCACAGACATTGTTATCCTTCCTCATTTTATCAAATTTGTGTTTCTATCAGAGTTATTATTGCAATAACTTTCAAAATAACAAAAATTCTATAAGGGTTTTATTTAAAAAGTTCAGACCATCCAGCACACCCTCCATTGCCTGTTTTTCAGAGGTAAATCTTACATCTATTAGCACATTTCCTAGTTGTTTCCATCTGTGTGCAAGGATGTATGTTAATACTACTTCTTGATTTCTAAAGCATTATCTATGAATTCTTCTCTCTGGAAGGCGAGCACTTACAGCATTTTCCTCTCTTACTCTCTCAGCCCTCCCCCACCCCTCTATTTTGCTTCCTGTCCTTCCTCTGACGGATTTTCATCATAATAAGCCAGTCAATCTGTGGCCGTATATTAATGTCATAAATGCTGTTACCAACTGAGTCATGAAGTTTACATTTCCTTTCATGCCAACTTTTCATTTTCCTTTACAGGATAATACGGATGTTGTTTGTTCGCCTGTTGATTGGTTCGCTTCCTTTTCCATGTACTTATCTCGTCTAGTTATTCAAAGCGTTTCTCAGCTTGGTGAAAATATTGGATATTCAAGCAGTTTTCTCTTCTTGAAGAAATCAGCTGTGTGTCCCTCTGGGATGCTGCAGTTGGCACTGTGACTATAGCTCCTCTGTGAGGTTAACCTGGAGGTTACCTTCAACCCTCTCTGCTTCCCTTCACTGCTTTCTGGATGAAGATCATCTTCATCTGTGGTTTAATCCTCATCTGGGTAGAGGATAGCCTCCAGGAACTTCCTGAGGAAAATAGCCATAGGATGTATATATTCAGGGTCTTGCAAATCTGTTTTAGTTACATTCTTGTCGCTGAAACACAATGCCATACACACACAACTTTAAAAAAGAGAGGTTTATTTTGGCTCACGGTTTCAGTCCATCGTCAGCTGGTTGCAAGCCAGAAATAGCCTGGGGGAAGGGTCTGGGTGGAGGAAAGCTGCTCAGAGCATGGTGGACAAGAAGCAGACAGAGAAAGACCAGGGAGGGTACCATGACCTCCCAGGTCACAACCCCAGTGATCCACCTCCTCTGCCCAGACTCTACTTCCTTAACAGCACATCCAGCTATGGGTTCATCACTGATGAATATAGCAGCCTCCTAGGTCCAATCACCTTCCCCACACAAGAATTTTGGGTGATATTTTAGATTTAGACTATAATAGCATCTGAAAATGTTGTTATTTCTACAAATGTAATGAACTATATGGGCATTATATTAAAAGTTGTACATCATTTTCCCTTAGAATTTTAAAGCTGTTTGTTCACCAGTTCTTAATGTTGCTGTTGAGAAAGTCATTATGGTTCTTGATATTTTGTAAGAAACCTTGTCTCTGTCTTTCTTTTATTTTCTCTCCTTTTCCTACTCTCTTGCTCTCTCTGTTTCTCTCTCTCTCTCTCTCTCCCCCTCCCTCCTTCCCTCCCTCCCTTTCTCCCTCCCTCCCTTCCTGCCCTTCTCTTCCTCCATTTGGAACTTTGTAGAATCTTCCTTTAAGCTCAGTGTTTCTCAAATTTTACTGCAAAGAGGTGTGATCTGAGTCTGTTTTCATTGTACTAGGACATTTTAGTGTAAAAATTTACATCTTTGGAGGGAATTGTAAAATTATTACTATTTCTCTGATGATTTCTCTCATTTGTTTTCCTTGTTCACTCATTCTGTAATGCTTCTTCTTTTCATATATTGGCCTCCTGAGTCTAATGACTCTTTTTTTCTGGCATTTTCTTTTCTCTGCCTTTTCCTCCACTGTCTCTGCTCTCTATCTTCCCACTGATTTTGGTTTTGTTTGTTTGTTTGTTTGTTTTTGTTTTTCTCCGGTACCAGGAACCGAACTCACGACCTTGCGCTTGCCAGGCAGGCACTTTTGCCGCTGAGCTAAATCCCCAGCCCCCCCACTGATTTTGTACCCCTATTTTTTTCAGTTCTACATTCAGCTCCTGCATTGTTTCCTAGCACCATCCTCTTTGTGGGTCATGAGTACAATACCTTCATCACATTGCTGAGGATGTTAGTAATCACTTTTTCTTATAAATTCTTTCACTTGTTTTTTCCAGTTCAGTTTGTCTCATACATGTTTGAGACTTTTCTCAAAGTCAAATAATCTTGGCTGAATGTTTAATTTAAAAGTGTGACGCCAAAAAGCTGACAGGAAACTTGTATAGGTAAATGCTCACTCAATCCTACTTTCTTAAGATGTCTGCAGGTCCTCCAGTCTGGAGTCCCACTGTTACAGCCCTGCTAGAATTAATTTCAAGCCTTCTGCTCGATTTTCAGAGTAGGGGAGAGTTTCCCAAGTCCTTACTACTTTTTAATAGACTTTCAACTAGGTCTGTCTTCAGCATTGATACCTCCTATTTCTCGTCATCACCTGTGCTTCTAATTCTTGACCTTTTGAGAGTCCTGAGCAATAAATTGGGTTGATTCTTGGCATTTCTATCATCACTTTGGGTAGAGATTGATTGGACTTACCAAGTTACTTCCTGCTCATTCATCTACTTTCCAGTTTCCAGTTTTGTTTTGTTTTGTTTTGTTTTGTTTTTATCATTGTCTTGGTTACTTTTCTCTTGTTGCTGGGACAAAACATCTGACACCCAAAATTAAGGAAGGAAAGGTTTATTTAGCTGAAGTTTTGTGGCTATTTCAGTCCATAATCAGCTGGCTCCAAGGCAGGGTGGCCTGGTACAAGCAACAGTATAAGATGGCAGAAGACAGTAAAAGCAGCAAAAGCACAAGGGGTTGCGGAAGCAAGCCTCTTTCCCTCCCTTATATTGTATGCTGGCTAGCTGCCCATTCCCACACCATCTCCATATCTTCCTCTTCCACAAGCTGAGGATGTTTACAAACCAAGGACCCTAGCTCTCTGCTGAACCACTTGGTTAAATTTTTAAACTTCTCAAGGAGACACAATGACCAACATCCCTGAGTGGTAAGGGCATATCCTTTTCACACCAGGATGTAGGACTGCTGAGTTACTTAGTTAAGCTTCTAGACACCTCAAGTTGACACAATGTATCAACCATAACAATCCACCCCTTGTGCTCTTGCTGCTTTTGCTGTCTTCTACCACCTTGACGTGTTGCCCCTGTGCCCTGCCACCCTGCCTTGGAGTCAGCTGATTACCGATTGAAATCACCACAAACTGTGAGCTAAATAAACCTTTCCTTCCCTAATTTGGGGTGTTGGATATTTTGTCTTAGCAATGAAAGACAAGCAACCAAGACAATTGTAATCTTTCTTCTCATTCGTTTCATTCTTATAGGTTATATCTTTAAGGGTTGTTTTTCTTTATGTTTTTAGTTTGGGTTCTGGATGTAACAGAGGTAACTGCACCTTGTCCTATCCACTATCTTTAACCAAACTTGCTGGCTTATCTTTTCTGTTGAGGAGCTCTTGGTGTCAGATTCTTTAGGCATTGTTTTGTTTTGTTTTGTTTTGAGCTGTTGAGATTTTTGGGAAAAGACTTTTCTGCCTCCCTTCTGGAAGTACGAGGACTACTGGTGGAATGAGGCATGAATCTTCTCTTAAAAATCACTATTCCTTTAGGTTTTTCTCAGCTGAACTCCTAAATTTCATAAACATGTCTTAAAAAGTTTTTAACTTACAGCTCATAAATAACCCATATGATTCCCAGCATTAAAAAAAAAAATTTAAAGTTTAAATTTAGGGTCTATAGCCACTAACTTCTAATTTGGTTCTAAATCTTGAAGAGGAGCTGTGGCCCAAAGATATCTTTGATGCCAATATTTGATTGTTTTTTAATGACTCTCAGCATCTTCTGCCAGCAAAGATTTATATTTAGAATAACTCCCATTAATATTTTTGTTTCACCAATTTAAAAAGGGACTTAAAAAGTTTTAAGCATATTTTTAAAAAAAATCTGTGGTTTTCTGCCTATTTTCAGCCCCAGGACACTTCATTATTCACAACGCAGGCAGATCAGAGCATGATCTGCAACTTGGTAAGTTGGAGTTGGTTTGTGTTTTGGGGAAGTTGCTAGTACCACTGAATGTTCTAAGTTATGTTGGTCATTCTATTTTGTCTAGAGTTGAATATCCAGGCTGCAATTTCTACAACTTCCTCTTCTCTAGAAAACAGGAGGGAAAGCACCTGTGAAATCTCAGTGTGATGCTAAATTTGGTTACTTTTTTTCCATAAAGGTATAATCTTACCAAAACCCCAAATCTCCTAGTTAGGGTATCTCAGGAGAACACAATAAATCTATCAAAGACATAAATCTTTTCTTCTTTTTCTTTTCTTTCTTTTTTTTTTTTTTTTTTTTTGAGCAGGGTCTTATGTAGCCCAGGCTGCCCTTGAACTTTCAGCAATCTTCCTGCCTCAGCCTCCTGAGTACTGGTATTAAGGCATTCACCACCACACCTGGCTCAAGGACAGGAATCCTTCCATTTCACAATAAATTAAGCCATAGGATTAAAATGAATTTCCCTCAATAATTTATGCTTCCAAATAGATCCTTACTTTTTTTGTTGAGCTTGAAGATTCCTTATTTCCCATCTCATTCCTTGATTTTGGGAGTTGTAGGAAGAAAGAGTGCGTGATAGAGCTGTGATTCCTAACAAGATGACAAAAGAAAATCCTAGGGGATGAGAAGGAAGCAGAATGTTGTCACTCACTTCTCCTGGGATCCATGTCATAGCCACCATGGCAAACCTTTGCATCAGCAGCTTATTAATAAAGCTGAATGGAAAGACCTGGAGTGATGTCACTTCTGAGCTCTTTGGAGTAAGTTCATGAGCATTATCTGCAGCACAGTGGTTTTCCCATTGGAAGAGTGTATAATTATTCCAGCTCCTGCTTTTCATATTGGAAGCTCACAATTAGGTTTAGTAAAGTGAAATTTTCTTTTGTGACTACTTCAATTTTAAGTAAGGAATTCTCTTCTAGGAAGTCTTTCTTAAAGGTAAATTTGATACCTTTGAAAGGACAAATATGTCTCTAACACCTTCACAGTAGATTGCCACACTTTTTTGTCTTTTGAACAAGCAAGAGAAAAAACAGAATCTATGTGGCTTGCAAATGCATTGCGTGTAAATTATAAACACCAGAGAACCTCATTCTTTATTTTCATTGGTTATTCTCAGCATGGGTGATGGAACTGGAGGATGAGATTTTTAATTATCAATTGTGAAAGGGTTAAGAAAAATGGAGAAATACTGGTATAAAAGGAAAGGCAATTGGTCATCATCGAACGCATGCCTACTACTTTGAATACCTACTACTTCAAGCAAAAGACCCAGACCCAGAATCCTGGGATTTATGTGTCTTTGAAAATCTTCCTGTCCACCACTGCTCGTCACAGGAGCTTCCATATCTGCTTTCCCCTTCTCTCCATGCCTATCATCTGAAGCAGATATTCTGCTTCTTCTCTTCACTGGGGAACTTAACTTGTTGCATCCAGCACTGTAAATGTTGCTAACACTTCTGTGCAAGACTAGGAAATCACAATGAATCTACTCAATGAGTTCTCATTGTACAGAATCTTCCCAGGAGCAGGAACTCCCAAGCATTTCGTTCATTGATGCCTTTGCACAAAGCAGGGATTGAAACTGGTATTCAGCTGTACAGCTCCCAGCCTGTGTATTATGGTCCCACAGAACAAGTGGGCACCCCTTTGAATCGCAAACTTCACTGGAGTCTCAGAGTTTCTCACAGGGCCTTTGAGGTTCTCACTAAACCAGCTCTCCCAGGATGGGAGAGGCAGGACTAGAAGGCAAGAGCCATACTGCCTTTTAATTTTTTGAAGAGCATGTTACTAATACAGAATGGTGAGGTTTGTTTTGGGAAATTGGTACATTCATTTAACATCTGGATCATTTTCAATCCCATTTCCCTCTTCTTCATCTTCCCCTTCTTGTTCCTCACGTCCCTTTTCAGAAGTTTACTCACTGGCTTCACTCTTTCTTTCTCTCTCTTTCTTTCTTTCTTTCTTTCTTTCTTTCTTTCTTTCTTTCTTTCTTTCTTTCTTTCTTTTTCTTTCTTTCTTTCCTTTTCTTTCTTTCCTTTTCTTTTTCTCTTTCTTTCTTTTGTTCCTTTTCTTTCTTTCTTTCTTTCTTTCTTTCTTTCTTTCTTTCTTTCTTTCTTTCTTTCTTTCTTTCTTTCTGTCCAGATTCTTTTCCATTGTTTTTTGTGTATGTTTGTAATACATTGTATGTACAACCATTTTGAGGAATTGGTACATACATATAACATATGTGGATCATTTTCAATCCCTTCCTTCTCCCACTTTCCCCTAATCTTCTTCTCCTAAAGGTCTACCTTTATTTTACTCTTTAATTCATTTATATTTTTGATTTCTCATGTAAGAGAAACCTGTGACATTTAATGTTCTAATTCTGATTTATTTCACTTGACATTATGGTCCTAATAGCCATCCATTTTCCTACAAACAACACAAATTCATTCTTTATGGCTGAATAAATTTATATATATATATATATATGTATATATATATACATGTAGATCTAGATCTCTCTCACACACACATGTGGCCTCACAGAACAAGTTGGAATCCCTTTGAACTGAAAACTTTGCTGGAGGCTCAGAGTTGCTCACAGGGCCCTTTGCAGTTCTCACTAAACCAACACATGTATGTATCACATTTTCTTTTATTCATCTGTTGGTGAGTATATAGAATGTTTTTTTAGATGTTTGTTTGGTTTTTTTTTTGGTTTTTCTCCGGTACCAGGAACCGAACTCACAACGTTGCGCTTGCCAGGCAGGCGCTTTGCCGCTGAGCTAAATCCCCAGCCCCTGTTTTTTTAGATGTTGTCAGTTACTCTGCTGTAAATATGGGCTTGCAGGTGCCACAGTAGCGTGACTCTTACCTTATTTTCCCATGCCATCTGCTCTGCCTTTCACTGACCTGGCTTTTATACTATCCGAGAGGATTCCAAAACATGTGCTCCAAGACTGTACTGCTCATTGTCATCTAAAGGAAGAATTCCATTTCTGATTCTGAGAACTAAACTAGCTTGGTGTTTTGCTTCCACCAGTAAATACAAAGGACCTACATAATCTCTGAATGTGATTGTTACCCCAGCAAACAATAGGTGCTCTAAAGTAGGTATAGCATCTTACCCATGTGCTGGCAATCCCTTTGTTAAGGGAGACATCTTGTGGGAAAAAATAAATAGAACTAAATGGTTGAGGCAAGGCACAATTCCTGTAGGATTATTTCAGATTTTTCCACAAGATGTTAGTTATTCATGATTTATCTTTGCTTTTTTATCTTAACAAAATATTTACAGTTTTATACTATATTAGAAGGAATAGAAGAGTGACTTCTGCTTCTGAATTTGAGTAGCAGATTTTACGTCCAGCCGTGTTTTACACTCACTCATCCTTCAGTGGGTTGTATTTATCCTTCAGGAGTTGAAGCTGCAGTACCGTCCTATAATATTTCAGGTGACATGGTCAAACTCCTATGCAAATATGGGCTTTCACTTTAAGTTATCTTTGTATTTTTCAATCTGTACAATGATAAATTTATGAGATTTGTGTTTTGCAATATCTCTTGGATCCTTATCTGGCTTGAGGTTTCCTCTACAGCATGGACTCAGACTGCCAACTACCAGCATTTGCTCACAGGCTGCTTTCTACTTTGTCAAATTACCTTTCATGTCCTCTGCCGTGTAGGTCACTGGATACCGTGTTGTCATAGCAAATCACCATGCCTTCCCAAATGGAAAGATCATACCCTGAGTGTTTACAGGATCTGTTGCTATGAAGATAATTCTTTCAGGACAATAAAAATGAAGTCTTTCCCCATAAAGGACTCTTGAGAGCATATTAGAGGGAATGTTATCTCATTCTTTTTAAAAATTGTGTCATCCCACCTCTTGAAAGTTATAGAAAGCCTATAAAAACATTAGATCTCTGCACACTTGTCTACTAAAGCATCCTTTAATATTATTATACCCTTTAGAAAGATCATTGGTGTGGTCATGGCCTGCATCACAATGATTGATTTGATGGAGGACCTAAGAAAATTCATTTGTATGTTTATTTGGAACTGGGCAATCCATTATTACTTATTTCCCATATGTCAGGATAACTTTTATATAACTTCTCCATGGAACTGGCCTCAATTTGGGCACTGACTTGGATGCATGCACAGGAGATATAGATGTATCTTTTGGTCACTTACAGTGAGAGCCTCCCAGGAGTTACTGATTTCTCCAAAGTATTAATTGGACACTTCTTACTATTCTGGGAGAACACTGGTAAACTTTTACAGTTTAAGTGTTTTGATGGAAAAGAGTTAATGAGCCCTCTATTGGCCATTTAGTGACATAGGCAGCCAAATAAACATGCTTATTATATTAGTAGAGTGTAGACATGCTTATTACATTAGTAGAGTGTAGAAAGAAGGAATGTTTTCAGTAATGGCAGTAACATGCCCTGGCTGTGCTATTTTTAATGGCCTGTTGTTATTTTATAGCCCTATTTTTAAAACTAGAAAAGATCTTGGTCTAGAGGTGACAGAGAGCTGATTCAGCACATAATTGGGGTCAGGATGATGTTCCTGTATAGAGGCTCCATGGGGACAAAAAACCTCCCTTTGCCCACACTATTAAAAGGGTCTAATTGAGACCAGGGCCCATACTGCTTGTAGTTCTTCAAAGAATTGATTTACTGTGTGAGGTAAAGTGATGGATAAGGATTCTGTTGGAGGAAGACAGGAAAAAGGGACTAAACAGGAACCTACCATAATGCACCACTGTTTGTCCGTCGTTATCCTGGTGAGCAGCCCCATAGCTGGCCTCCTCCTCCCAGCTGTGGAAGTACACACAAGCTTCATAGCTACCCATTGGGTCCTGTGGGTCTGAATATTGGGACAACCCCTTATGTTTTGGTGCAATGCAATACTAACAAGACTGAAAGGTCCCAGACTGAAAGCATCCTATAATTTCTTCCTCACTCCTTGTAGCTGTCAAAGATGCAGACCATTAGTGTGTCTTTTTCTGTGTCTGGCTATCTCTGCGATAAATAGCAGAAAATACCATCCTAGGATCACAGAGAAGTGAGTTAAAGTCATAGGCAAGTGAATAGTAAAGCACAGTACCATTAGTAAGTGAAATGATTGGCCAAAATAGTGGACATTTGACTGACTTGCAGGGCAACAACACTTCTTGATTATAAAGGCGAAGTTTATCCACATTCTCCTCTGAGATATCTCAGTTCTGTAAAGGTTTTCAATGCCAAATGCAAGTTTGTTTTTCCAAGACAGATTTAATGAAGTTAATTACCTGTGTGGTGACAAACATGAATCCTAATCGCCCCGGTGTTCTGTCTTGTTACCTGTTCACATGTTGAATCTTATTTTTTCCAACCTCCAAACAAACACTCCAAGGCTGAATCTGAACAGGCTGCACCCACAGAGCTCAAGGCAGAGGAGCCACCTGCTGCCACCACACCTGCTGTCGGGATGGACCTTGGAGTGGAAACTCAGCCTGAGGAGCCAGTGGAGGAGGCAGCGGTGAGCACCACCTCATGTCCCCTCTCTCCTCCTCCATCCCTCCCTCTCACTGTCACCCTCGTCTCGTGATCATCTCATGACCTATGTGTCACTTCTCATCTGTGCTTCACTTGGGCCAAAGAAGCTCCAAGTCTTCGCGGCTCCCCAGGTTCAAGTAGCCTTCATTACCTTGCCAGTGAGACTCCGTTCCCTTCCATTTTTGAAAAGGAAGATTTCCAGAAAATTGATCTTATGATCTGGAGACAACTGTCATGCCACCAGAGGTGTAGCCCTTTTGTGGAAGATGGAAGATGTTAGAAGCTGTGAGGACTCAGACTTGTTTAACTCACTCGATCTGTGATGCCTGGAGAGGTGTCCTTTATTAGGGGCTGGGTTGCATGTGGTAAACAGGAGAATAAGATTGCTGATTGTGTCTACATGTTGATTACTTGTAATAATAGCTTTGTAGGTCAGTGAAAAGTCAACAGTAGACTGAAAGCTCATATTCCAAATCTGTGAATCTATAAGGATTTCTCTGTGTACAACCATTTGCTAAAAATCAGCTGTGTCAGCTCTTATAATCAGTGGGAGTTAGCCAGGTGTGGTGGCTCACACCTGTAATCCCAGCACTCAGGAGGCTGAGGCAGGAGGATCACCATGAATTCGAGGCCAGCCTCAGCTACAAAGTGAGTTCAAGGTCAGGCTGAAGTACATAGCAAAACCCTGTCTGAAAAAGATAATAATAATAATGATAATAATGATAATAATAATCAGTAGGAGTTGAGGACATATTTAATGCTAGGATGGAGACCCATCTGTCTGCCTGAATCCCTGTTCCTACCCTGATCCATAGAGTCAGAAGAAACACTCACACTGCAAACTAAAGTGACCTCTGTTATGCTCTAAGATCATTAGACAACGTAACACCCATGAAAGTATACGGCTGAAAATACCATGTTAAATGAAAAATGTTTATTTATGAAATGCAGCAAAATGTCTCCCAAGAATTTCAGTGAAGGTTTTGTTTACTACAGCCTTCACTGGTCATGCTCACACAGAAATACCAACCCTCTATTACCAAAAATGATGCTGTCTCTATTAGATATTGAAATGAAAGTTATATTTCATGTTTTTGGTGCCTGAGGCCATCTTACTGGAGAGAAGGTAGGTTGTCTGTCAAATCAATAGTTTACTAATAGAGTAAAAAAAATAATAGTAAAGCAAAATAGAAAATGGTAATTGAGAATAACTCCAAAAAATATCATATTTTCCCTCTGAAGATATGGAGTTGGACCAAGACCTCTGAGGAAAACTAGAGATGTATCCAGCTAGGCTGAATCTATCTCTGGAGCATTCATTGCTTGCGTTAATATCAGATTGAGGAGTGCTCTCTTTTAGGTTTTTTTTTTTTTCCTGGAGGTCACTACCAGATTCATGGAGATCTGAACAATTCAGTGCAGATACGACATTTTCCATGGTGCCTAATTGGGATCTTTCCACCCACCCTAGCCTTGCAATTTACTTAAACAACAAGGGAAGGGAAAATACAGATGATTTTTTTTTACTACTGTTATCCTTAATGAAATAATTGATTTTAAAATGAATGCGTATGATGGATGCCAGGTAGCTAGAAAGATAGTGGTTTAGGTTTTGAAGAAAATCACTCTGATTCTAAAGAGTTCTCATCAAATTTCTCTTCTCAATAGCAACAATTCTTCTACACCTCTTCACTGGAGCCTTAGAATTACATTGATTCCATGCCCCACACACTTCCATTTAAGGCCTAATGCCGTTGTGTTCATGTCTTAAGCAGGATCAATATTTGATTTTGTGCACCAGGCAGGGGATGTAAAATAAACAAACTAATATACTAAGGATGGGCATGACTGATTCTCTGTGATCCATTCTTAGTCTACTGTTATCTGCTATCCTTACACTTGTACTTGTTTGAAACTTCTATAAGTGGGTTTTTGTTTTTGCATGGAATCCAATTAGTTTTCCAGTGGGTAATGTTAGTATGTACCAATTTTAAGGTACCTATTATGCAGTAACTAATATGTACATGTTGAGTATTCCTTATCCAAAATGCTTGGGACCAGAAGTGTTTTGCATATGCATAAATAGACATCTTGGAGATGGGACCCACATCTGAACAAGAAATTTATTTGTTTTGTTTACACCCAGGACACTTAACCTGAATGTAATTTTATATAATACTTTCAGTAGTTCTCATATGAGATCAAGCATGGAATTTTGGAGCATTTCAAAGTCTGGATTTTCAAACCAGGATTTTCAACCTGAATATGATTTATCATCTTTTAAACTAAGGTGACATTAAAAATATTTAGCAACATATGTCACAAATATTAAGTATCCCTGAAACCAAGTTCCCTAACGTTGGAGAAGGAGGTATTTGGAAGAAATCTTTACCCTAAATATACTTTTCCTCTTAAAGTTTCCAGGTGAACTTTAGAAAATGAGAATTTTTCAATTCTTTGTGAAATAAAGACTTTTTAGAGAATCTTTTGAAGCATTCAGACACCTCCTGAAAGCCAGGGGTGATGTAAGAATAGTAACTACAGTGTTCACAATATGATGTGCCTCTCTGAAGAGGAACAAAAATCTAGCAAATTCCTTTTGCCATAAGGACTGAGAACTAATAGTACCAGCATTAGCGGAGAAGGAACAGTTTACAACATCCCAGTTTGTCTAATCTTAGCAAAATGGACATCCATGGCTGAAATCACTTCTTCCCCATTTTCTCTCTTCTGCTTGGGAGAATAACATCCAGCAGGATTTGTAGCTTTTTTCTGCCGGTCACAGTAATCGCACGTATTATGGTTATTTTTCTAAAGAAAGCCCTCTGGTGTTGCTAGATGTGTGGTATTTAGCTGTAAAAACATAAAATTCCATGTGTGTCCCTAGCATTAATTACAGCTGCCTGTGGTTGTCATCACTGAGATTGAGTTGACATGACATTTGGAGGTAATCCTTTATGCTGTCGAAATGTCACCACACTGTTATTATTTCAGGTTTTGACAGAGTGCATTTCATCTGAATGAAGTTTGTGGTGGTTTTGTTGGAAGAAAAAAGGTCAAGTGTAGTTTCAAAAACAGGAAATTGAATAGTAGTTTCCCCCAAACACCTAAGGTTCTGAAGAAAATTTTAATTGCTACATTTCTGCTTGTTTTATTCTCTACATATTGTCTCTAATGTTTCTGTACCGCATCAGATTTTACCAGTGTATCTACAGGGTGCATTTTAAAAACCAACTGTTACTTCACCTTCTGCAGCTGTTTCCATTATGTGAATAATGAAAATAATCTTTAGGGAACAATGATCTCGATATTCATTTCAGTACGCACATCAAAGAATTAGGTTAAGAGGCAGATAAAGGTGAATGTGGATCAGTTTCTAATATATTATTCAGTTATAGATAATCATTCACCATATA